AATTACAGTAAAATACCCCAAAATATATAAGGAGAGCATTGTTATTTGCACCCATGTTCAATCACAGTGTCATCTGTTAACAAATATGCATTTTATACCTGCAAAATTTAAAGGTCACAAACATTTTGTCTTCAGCCATGCTTATCAAATGCATTTGTTCAAACACAGATATCATTTCATGATATCTGTGTGTCATTTCATCAGAAAATGCAAATAATAACACAGTACAGTCATAAAGTTTTAGCCATTTATTTTTTGGGTTAACTGGGTTAAGGGGGTGACTAAAATGCCATTATATAAGAGGCTCATTCTTATGTAAATAATAATTGCATTTACTTGTATTGACATCTGTAACATTTCTATATAAAAGGCAAGGTGACGATAGTGGGTGATTGTGTTATGGTTGCCACTGAGCAAGACGTTTCTCATTAAAATGAATAAGCCCAGGTTAAGCTCACTTTGTCTCATTTCCGCCCTCTGAATGTGCGTTTAAGGCAGTCGTTTCCATGGAAATTACTGTAAAAGATTTTACTCTGGGTGCTTGTTAGCCTTCTCTTTGTGTTTCTGTCTCAGGTTGCCTGTTTGAGCGAAAACTGTGCACTAGGGATCAGTTCTGCTCAGATGGTGAGTACGCCACACACACGTGCACACACAATCAAACACAATGTTCTTGAACTTGTTAAACTTTTAAGACAGAATGCTTTCTTAATCCTTCTGTAACACTGCACCATACTAAATTATTAGCCCTCGATACTAGGCGTACACAGATCCTAACACAAAGGCTGTGCATAGATACATACAAACACAAGTCAAGGATTTTTGCTCTCTCTGCCTTATTTACCACAGATTCTCAGTCACCTGCCCCTCTCCTTTTCCTCATTTTAAGCCCCACCCCTGCCCCCTGTCTCCATAGCAACACTGACATCACATCGAGGTCGACACCCCCACAGTTGTTGTGCTAATACAGTGATGAGTCACTGACACACACACTTACGTCCTTCCCCGTGGAAGCTTCACTTACGCAAACGCACAATCATTGGACAGAATACTAAGTGGATGAGCTGCCAAGGAGCAGACACAGAGACAGATATCAGCGTGTCTGACAACACTGGGAGAAAAACAATCCAAGTGGATGAAACGTGCCCCTTTTTTCTTTTTTCCCGTTGATCTCTGTACCACCTCAAGAACCTACTAAGCAAAATAAACTGTAAACTGTCTGTGTTTGTCAGACCCCAACAAAGATTAAATGACCTAATTTTTGGTCAGCACTGCTCCTGTAACACTTAACTAAATGTTTAACACATAAAGAATAACAGCAACTGTGTTGAGTTGATGAAGACAACGAGGAACAATAATAAAATAATTAAAAAAAAAAACATTAGGGCTGTATAAAGGTGTGTCCTCATTAATTGAAGCAACACATCTTCTCTGTTTGTGTTCAGAATAAAGGACTTGGATGACATTTTTCATATGCTGGTGAATTTTTAGTTAACTGCTAACCTTGTAGTAGCCATAATGCCCTATTATTTATTTTTTTATTTATTTGACCTTCTAATGTACAGTCCACACAGGCTTCGTTGTAGTTATATGGGCCTAGCAGTTTTTGTTCATCATTGAGACTTTGATATTTTATACTCGGTTCAGTCACTAATAATGTTTTCAATAATTTCTGTGATTACAAAGGTACTGAACTCTCAGAATAAATTAAAAAAATAAGGTTTGCATTCTCTAACTTAACTTAAATAACTACAAGATTTGTTATTGTGCCTTTTCAAAAACTAAACA